CTTTATGATTCACAACCAGACCCAGGCGCTCGAGCAGCATACGGCTGAGATGCACAACACGCAACCTACACTACATGCATCTCTCGGCGTCGGTGCCCGGTGTCGCCTCACCGTCCGCGGGCTGCTGGAAGTTGACATAGGCATAGCCCAGCGACCGGCGCGTGATCATGTCCCTGCACACCCGGATGGAGAGGATGGCCCCGGCCGGGCTGAACTTCTCGTACAGCATGGCTTCAGTCACGTCCTGGTGCAGGTCTCCAACATACAGCGAGGCCATGGGGTAACTGGGAGCGCTGGGGTTCATGCTCTCTCCGCCCGCAGCGCAGCTAGCCGTCAAGCTAACCTACACGGGCCGATGTTTAAAACCCAAAACCGTCGACTAAAAGAAGACCCCGCGTTTCGTTTTAAACGACGAACATGTAGGGCAGCTGAAGCTTCTGAAACCCGTAACTGTTAAAATCCCAAACCGCTAGACCTTCGCGAGCTCACGGACTGCCGTTGTTTTTTTCGGGTTTGTTGAGATGTTTCAAGGCCTCCTGCTCCCGCTTCACCGATTTGTATTTTTAAAAGGGGAAAAAAAAAAAAGATTTTTTGGAATTTTTTAAAAGTTTTTAATTTTTTTTGTATTTTTGTGTTTTTTATGTAATGTGTGCCGAGGGAGCTCCGGAGCACGCGCGCACTCGCTCAGCGCTAACAGCCGGGCATCTGGAGGAAGGGGGCGGGGCCAGCCGCGCTGCGTCATGCACAGTGAAGCCAAGCCAAATACATCTTACACACGACATTTAACAATATGGTACTGCTTTGCATAATATTAGAAACAGAAGAGCTGAAAAGACTTGGTTAATTAAATGTTTTAAATTTGACCCCTGGCATATATAACCTTTGTCTTTAGTTTTGTGCATGCACATGTTTTTTTTTTCTTTCTCATAATTGTTGTGAGATGTATAGGTTTGTACTAATTTTGTACATAATTAGATAATAATAATAATAATAAAAAAAGGTTTTAGATTGGAAGGATAATGTTAGAGACAGCAGATATGACCCAGTAAGCTTTTAGAGGGACGAAGAGTTAAGGTCATTCGCTTAAATGGATGTTTAATATCCAGATATGATATGTGAGAAACATCAACGACCGAAGCAAGCATCATACAATGGTAAATGTGGCAAATTGGGCTACAGGACATTTATTTCCCCGTGTGCTTGAATCAAAGGAGGACATTAAAATATCCACCGCAATGCCATTCGTCTCCATTTGGAGATGACACAGTTACAATATTCTGAGTTATATTTATTTATCTTTTGTTTTATTCATCACATGTCAATTTTCATATCAATCATGCTCCTTACTAACACTGTTTTCTAGCTTGTCATGGTTGTGAAAAATGTGCCATTTTCACACAATACATACGAAAATGGTTTATGTTTATTTCACTCAGTTATTACAAAACTCAGTTATTATCAGTTTTACAAAACATGATGTGAAATCATAGTTCATAGTTGATTAACAGCATGTATGCGAGTGTGCTGAAGATCCCCGACAGAGGGAGTCACAGACCTGCAGATCTGTGTTTCCTTCAGGTATCCTGTGTGTTCAGACATGAACACGTGTCTCTGGGTGTGTGGTAGTATCATTTTATTACATTTATTTATTCAATTTACGACCACAAATGCAGTTATTGGTAGTATTTTTCCCACAGCACTAGCAAATCATTCTCAGAATTAAGGGAACCTGGCAGAAGTTGTCAAAGTCATGGCTATTAAAAAGCAGTTTAACTTTTTGTATTTTCCAGGAAAAAAATACAGCCGATTTAATGCACACTGATGTTATTGTGGGGCATGTTGTCACACAAAATATTTGGATTCTGCTGTTTTTTTTGCAGTATTGTTTATTAAAGCTATTATAATAATTGAATAAAAATAATTGAAATAAAGTCAAACTTAGATATAATGACAAAAAATCTACTTGAACTGAAATTAAAACATTAAAACAAAATAAACAGCTAAAAAAAATGCTATACAAAATAAAGCTAAGAACAAAAACTGGTAAAAATGTCAAGAAGCACACACTGTAAAAAAATGACCGTGAATTTAACAGTAAAAGACTGTAAAAATGCTACAGTAAAAACCTGTTAACTGGTTAACAGTAAGTTTCCAGACTATATTCGGTGAATAAACGTAATTACATTTAATGTAATTTTACAGTAAAATACTGTTAAAAATACGGTTTTTGGAAGTGAAAAAGACCGTATAATTTACAGTGAAAAACCGTAAAGTGACACTCCCAGAATTTCCTGCATTACATTTCATATTTGATGTTTTTTCTTATCAGTTGTGTACACTAGGGTTTAATCTTACATCTAATGTTGTTAAATTAATGTGTATTGCATTATTTCAGTACCACGTGTGTCACCGTGATGGGGTTTAGTGTTTGTGTGAATGACGCTGTGTGCACCTTCTATATATAAGTATTGCCCTCCTCGGCTCGCAGACAAGCTGTTTGTGATGAGCTTTGGTTCATCATGTGGCTTTCTCATCACCACCAGTTGTTGGTGGTTATCAGCATTTCAATGGTTTAAAACAGATATTAACACTTCAATATGTTGGTTTATTAACATTACATCAGTTAATGAAATACGGTATTTTATTGTGAATTTAAGTTAAGTCTGTAAAACCTAAAATGTTGCTACCATATTTTTTACGGTGAAGTTCTGGCAACCACAGCTGCCGGTATTTTACCGTAAATGTTAATTTTTTTTTACAGTGCTTAAAATTAACATGAAAACTGAAAATATAAAAATAAACGCTAATTCCAAATATGATATTATAGCGGGCCACGTTGTCACACTGCATGCGGATTCTGCTGTTTATTGCAATGTTGGTATTGTTAACTAAAACTATTAAAAACTATTTTTGGCAACTGAAATAAAATAAAATATATTACATTTAGAAACTCCAACTTAAACTGAAATAAAAATAAACTAAAGGTAAACAGAAATATTAAAAACTAATAAAAATGACAAAACAACTAAAAAAGAAAAACCTTAAAGTAAAATCAAAATGAAAAGTGAAAATATAAAAATAAAAGGTCATTTAAAATATGTTCTTAGAACAAGATCCTACACATTTAATGGTATATTATTTACAGACTGAGTGTACATGTTCATGATACATTTCCTTCACAAACTCCAGTTTGCAAAACCTTGATGTAACGTGATATTTAATGCGCTTCATGTCATTAATACATTTTCTTTCCCTTTGTATTTTTATATCAATATGGTACAAGATTATCCTCTTTAAATCAATGTGATAAACAAGTTAGGTCAAAAGTAAGTAAGTATATTTTATTTATATAGCTATCCAAAGTGCTGAACAATATAAAATAAAGTAAAACAAAACACAGAGTAAGACCAAACAAGACAGACAATAAAACAAAAGTAGAGTAAATTTAAAACGCTAAGGAGTAGAGATATGTTTTCAACCTCGATTTAAAAATGTTAATAGAAGGTGCAAGGCGGATGTCCAGAGGCAGTTGGTTCCACAGACGGGGGGCAGTGACAGAAAAGGCTCTGTCACCCTAAGTTTTTAAAACGGGAACGAGGGAGAGATAAAAGAGCCCTGTCAGAAGATCTGATAGATGACTGAGGGGTAAGAAGGTCTTTGAGATAAGATGGAGCTTGATTGTTAAGAGCTTTAAAAACAAACAACAAAATCTTAAACTGAATTCTAAAATGGACCGGGAGCCAATGAAGTGAAGCCAAAATTAGGGCGACATGGTCATATTTCTTTGCCCTGGTCAGCAGCCTTGCAGCTGCATTTTGTACCAACTGGACGTGTGCAAGCGATGACTGAGGAAGACCCGAGCACAGTGAATCTATATACAGTAATCTAAACGTGAAGTAATAAAAGCATGAATAACCTTCTCCAAATCTTGAAAAAACAAAAACGGTTTAAGTTTGGAAATGATCTGCAGTTGATAAAAACGGTTCTTAACAGAATTGATTTGTTTGGATAAACATAATTCAGAGTCCAGGATAATACCATGGTTCCTAACCTGGGAGGAAATTGAGGGGAAATGATTGCCCAGCTCCGTAATGAGACCCCACCTTAATTTTGGGGGACCAAAAACAATTATTTCTGATTTGTCCTCATTAAGTTGGAGAAGGTTATTTAATAACCATTTCTTAATATCCGAGATACATCCCAACAATGGTTAAATGGTATCGCCAGCTTTTAGCGGCAGGTACAACTGTATCGTCAGCATAAAATAAAACATTGTGCTTCCTAATAATGTCCCCCAAAGGACGCATATATAAGTTAAAAAGAAGCGGGCCCAGAATAGAGCCCTGAGGTACTCCACTAATAATAGGAGCAGATGATGAACTTACCTAACTCCTAAAAGGAACTGTCTTTAAGATATGAAATGAACCATCGTAAGGCTGTATCCCTGATACCAAACAGGTTCTAAAAGTAATCAAAAAGTAGTCTTATTAGGACTATATAATTATATTTCCTAAAACATGTAATGTAACGGATCACGTCACAAGCTACAATTCTTGTCATGTAATTTGGAATCAGTAATGGACTACGATTTGTAAGCAATCTATCCAGCACATTAGGTGGGAAGGAAGAGTTGTAATCTGTCCGACTGAAAGCAAATTGTGTTTTTTGTTCTCTGTTCAACAGACAGAAATTGTTTTAGACATGTCTTCTGATGTAGCTTTCCATTCCCGTTTGTATTAATGTACATTAAACACAGCATGTCAAAAGGTAGTTTCACATCAGTTATGGCCACAGAGAGACAGTTTTGTTCTCAGTTTTGGAGTTTGATAGCTCCAGTTTCCATTCACTTGGTGACTTCAGTTTCCCTCCCCCATGAAAGGTTTGGAACAACTTAAAGGCGAGTCAATGATGCTGACTTTCATTTTTGGGAACTATTTCTTTGTTTAGTTGAAAATCCTTTTCAATCTTGACTTGTGTCACAATAACCAATCCCACTCCCCCGCAAGCACTCATCTAAATGAATATTTGAAGTCCAGGATTTTTCTGGAACGGCCAGGTTTGAACAACACCAGAGACTGAACTTTAGACATGTCTTCTGCTGTAGCTCTCCATTCCTGTTTGTATTAATGTACATTAAACACAGCATGTCAAAAGGTAGTTTCACATCAGTTATGGCCACAGAGAGACAGTTTTGTTCTCAGTTTTGGAGTTTGATAGCTCCAGTTTCCATTCACTTGGTGACTTCAGTTTCCCTCCCCCATGAAAGGTTTGGAACAACTTAAGGGTGAGTCAATGATGCTGACTTTCATTTTTGGGAACTATTTCTTTGTTTAGTTGAAAATCCTTTTCAATCTTAACTTGTGTCACAATAACCAACGCAAGCACTCATCTAAATGAATATTTGAAGTCCAGGATTTTTCTGGAACGGCCAGGTTTGAACAACACCAGAGACTGAATGCAATGCAAAAAGACCAAGAGATCATGTGGTTTGTGTTTTATCTGTTTTAATACCACTAACATGAGATCCAGATCCCTCCGCCCACCCTCCATAACAAATAACAATAATGCTGAGTGTTCCGTATGAAAATTCTAAGACAGCCCAATCAGCCAACTCCAGTCACCCTGATTAACTAAAGCCACATGCAGTTTAGGCAAGTATCAAAAGAGTAAACAAAACAAACTAAAAACAGATCGAGTAAGTAGTAGTACAAATAAAACAAAACCGAAACTCCTAATAGAAAACAGTATTAATCAGATAAGCACATGAAAAGCATTACTTACTGCTCCGGTAACAAGACTTTTATATCAAAGTTACAGTAAAAGCCATGTGTCAAGTCTTTTTGATCTTAGGTCTGTGGTCGACAAAGAAAGACTGTACGCATTATTCACCAATGAGAAATCAAACACTTGACAACTGAAGTAGAATGTCTTGCACAAGCCCAATCTGTCACAAGTTTTGGTTTATTTCCCATGATTCTTTAGGAAAATGAAGAATTCAGTCTAAGCCACAAGAAACCCATCACTAAATGCTCCCCTAGCAAACTCAGAAAAGGGTTCATACTCGCGCGCTCTCTCTCACATATGCACCTACAACAAAGCTGACGTTGGCTTGATGGTGACTGGCATCCCACGAGCACATGCATGAGCACACATCAAGCCAACAAACTACATTGCATTCTCCAATCCACAATTAACACATTTTAAAGACAAACAACTGCTGTTTGCCTGCCTGCCTGCCCCCCCTCCCCCTCCCAAACAAACACATGTACAGTCTCTCCTTCACACTCTCAAATCCAAACACACACATAAATGACGGGCTGGTGAGTATGAAGCTGGAACTGGAAAAGCGTCAGCCGTGCTGACTGAAAAGCTTCTTTGTGGAGTCGGCTTTAGTTTTCCCGGCCCTCCTCTGTGTCCTCAGCGTCGGCCTGATTGTCAGAGGTCCACAGCTGAAAACATTCAAACGGGGGAGCATTAAAATGTGCACATCCATATGCATATTTTTTTAAACATGGAAATTTAAAAGGGTAGAAAAGAGCATGAAGTCCAGGGCTGTATAACGTATTTGCTGATAACTGAGAAAATTTAATTGTTTTTAATACTGCTAGTGGAAATACAGCGGATCATTTAAACTGAGGTGTTTTAGTAAGTAGTAAGAATGTCTTGTCGTGTGTAAGGATTATTTCAAGATCTACTCATCATTAACTTGTGTTTGAGTGCTTTATAATCAGGATCCTCTACTGTAGGTAATGTTGCATTTTCCATATTTTGTTTAATTTCCATTAAATAAGCAAAACGTGTCAAAAAAGCTTCATCTGAATGTAATTAAGGGCTGTGTTGTGCCGTATTTCTGTTGTTGTTGTTGTTTTCAGTGTCTTACGTCATGAGCTTTGTATTTTGAAGTTAAAGGGGTCTTATATTATTATATTTTATATCTAGAGATTAGTTCTAATATTGGTTAAATATTTGTTTTTCATTATTCATCCTCATTAACAAAAATGCTTCGAGGTGTGTTACCATCTATCAGAAACACAATTAAACGCTGTGATTGCTAAACTTCCTTGCACCGATTTCACATGTTTCAGAAGGGTGGAAAACAAAAACTCATATTTTAAACTGGGGAGTTAGGTTTGAGGTAAGAAACCTGAAGGGTTTTTATTGTAGAATAACCTCTTATGCGCGTAAATATCAAGGACATTTCGATTTTCCATTTCATGGCCCATTTAAAAGTAGTTCACATGTTTCCAAAGCCCTGTTTTTCAATTAGGTAAGAGTTAAAGAGCTAGTCAAATCAGTTGTTTGTATGATTATCGGCAGTGAAATTCTCAGCTGTACTGAGTGAATATCAGAAAATAAGCACTCACCGTCAGATTGTCTCGAAGTAGCTGCATGATGAGTGTGCTGTCTTTATACGAGTCTTCAGTTAACTGGTCCAGCTCAGCAATGGCATCATCAAAAGCCTACATGAGAACAGATATATGGATTAATAAATCATACCAAGCTATTTTCTGTGTATGAGCTGTGAGCACCCATACTAACCTTCTTGGCCAGTTCACAGGCCTGCTCTGGAGAGTTCAGGATCTCGTAGTAAAAGACTGAAAAGTTGAGAGCCAGGCCCAGGCGGATGGGATGAGTGGGCTGCATGTTGTCTTTGCTGATGTCAAAGGCGGCCTGGTACCCTTCCTGAGACTTCTGGATGATATCTGTGTACAAACATTACACACAACATTATTTATGCAAGAATCATTTCATACTTTCCCACACAGTAGAACAGATCAAGGCTGACAAGATACTCTACTGGTCAAAAGTTTGGGGTCAGTAAGACTTTTTTATTTTTTAATGAAAGAAATACATTTATTCAGAAAGGAAAGGATGCATTACATTGATGAAAAGTGACAGTAAAGACATTAATAATGTTACACATGATTTAAAATAAACGTTCTTTGAACTTTCTATTAATCAAAAAATCCTGAAAAACTATCACTAAATACAATATATAATTTCCACAAAAATATGAAGTAGCATGTTTTAAACTGATAATAATAAGAAATGTTTCTTGAGCAGCAAGTCAGCATATTATACTGATTTCTGAAGGATCATGTGACACTGAAGACTGGAGTAATGATGCTGAAAATTCAGCTTTGATCACAGGAATAAACTACACTTTAAAATATATTACAATAGAAAGCAGTTATTTTAAATTGTAATAATATTTCACTATATTACTGTTTTTATTGTATTTTTTATTAAATAAATGCGGCTTCAGTGAGCATAAGAGATTTTCAAACACATTGAAAAACAAAATCTTACCGAACCCAATCTTGTGAACATTTACAATATTTTATTGAGGATTTGCCATATCATATTAAATTCCTGGAATCTGATCTGAATGTGCCTTTTATTTGGCCAGTTAAGTGTCCTAAAGCCTCCCTCCTGCCTTGTCAAGTTTTGTGAGGAGTGTTACAGTACCTAAATGATGAAATATTGCTCCTGATTATGTTGAGAAAAACTGTCAGTGGAAAAATATGTGCTTTTATTTCAACTAGATTATTACTCTTTTAAATCTGATATTTAACATTTTGAATATATATCTCATGATGGTTACTGTTGCAGAAAAATACAAATAAATCCAAGACATTTCAAAACATGCATTTTATTATTTTTACATGGCTGAGAATGAGATAATTTTCTTCTCCTCTGCACACTGGAGAGCTGTTAACAATAGTCAATGTCATGGTGCATTAAGAGCTTGCGGTTGCCTGTATTGATTGGTGCTCGGAGAGAAATGCATAAATATTTGAAAAAGACAGGCAGCTCTGTAAAGAGCGTTTGACGCGCTCTGCCTGATGAGCAGTATTTGTTCATTTAAAGAGATTCAGCAGACCGTGGCCGAGCGCTGCATATATTAAAGCCACCCGCAGGAGGCTCAGCCGAAACCCAGCTGGACAACACGCATCAGCCAGATGCTGTTGCCATGGCGACGATCACAGCCCATCACACTGACAGTAGTAGGTCAGCGGCTGCTTATGCTCAAACAGATGAGCGATTCTCTTTCCTCTCTAGAAAAGAACTACGGAAAACCTGCAGCTTAACTATAATACTACACAAACAGACTGATCTGGGATCTGCGGCACAGCCCGAGGTCCTGTCGTTTCCACAGATGGCAGCTTCAGTCAGATCATTCGCTCCTGTGCTGCCATAGAAACACACCAGGCTCTTAAAAATTCATCAAACCCTGCAGGGAGAAGCAGCAGCCCTAATAACCTCATGCATCTTTCGGAAAGAGTGAGTTATTACTTCCACAGACGGACTCAGCCGAAGAACACATGTGGAGGGCAATCACTCATTAGCCTCATTAATGAAACGAAACGAGGTGGAGCAGACAGACTGTGCTTCCTGCAACAAAACTCGGGGACGGCGCTGCGGCGTGTCTCAATCTGCTGAGACCCGCTTGTGAATCGTATGTGATGAGAGAAATAAAACCACAACATTTGCATTGTCCTCGCCTGAAAGCACACAAAAACACACAGTGCCCAACTCGCAACCAAATCGCTCGACTGGATTGGTTCTTTGTGATAAAGCACAGATACGAGCTACAGTGAGAATATTACATGCGGGCATGAAACGGTCACACTGGACGTCCTCAAAATTAATCTGCAAGCAGCTTGCGTCTCAAGAGCTTCATGAACTAGGACACAAGACCTTCAGATCTAAACCACCAGCCTTCATTTCCACATATATAATTAATGAAAACTCTGAGTCCGTGGCTACTTCATGAGATTTCTAACTCTATTATGAGGGTTAATTAATTGATTGACCTCTTGAGTTCAAAACATCAAACAGGAAACATCACGCCCTCTTCCAAACCCTAACAATGTTGCTAACAGCTCGCTATTCTAATAGGTACAAAAATGCACACATATGTTTGGATAAAGAGCATTTTTAATAAGATGGAGCTATTATATCTATTCTCTGATGTACTTGATCAAGAAAGGAGATTTCCCCTGACACTTGGCTTATAGCAATGCATTCTGAGATTGTCTTCTCCATGAGATGCTGCCATATGTTGGCTAAAACGAGGTGTTGTGTATAAGGCAGCATCATTCTGCTGCATACTGTCTGGATCAGTGTTTGTGTTGGCGTGCGTAAGATGCTTCTAGGTAGGCAGCTAGAGAGTTTGGAGCAGAGCCAGTGTACTCGCTCAAGGACAAACAAATCAGTAAAACAACATTAAAATCTCTATTGCAGTTATGCAAGATTATTCATGTGGACATTATTGCTCTGTTCCAGAACCTAGTGGGCTGTCAATATGGACAGTATTTCAAGACACGCTCACTGGCACGATCCTGATGAAAGACTGTTTTATAATAAGCATGGACAAGATGCTCATTTAGCCAAATTCTGAGACATATGGATTCATAAACTGTTAAAACACAACACAAAATTTCAGAGAGAGAGAGAGAGAGAGAGAGAGAAAAAAAACCATACTTAGGGCACTATTATTATTACTATTTGTGTGTGTTTGTTTAATAGTGCTATATAAGTAAAACTGACATCAAAATTATAATGTAATCCAGAAAAAATAAAATGGAAAAAGGGAATTTGGGGGGGGGGGGGGGGTCTTAATTTTGA